GGGTCCTAAGTGATGCCCCAGCTTCTCTGTCTCTCCCTGGAGAGGCAGTGCTGCCAACAGCAGAGCATGTGCCTGCTGCTACGTGGGGGCCAGCACAGGTGACTGTCCCTAAATACCACTTTTGGGTTTGTGGCATAAGGCTTAAAACTGTAAAAGGAGCTGCTTGTTTTGCAACAGGAGTGTGACCGATAAATCAATGCAGCATCGCCCAGTGACAGCTGTGTAACCACAACCTGAGTTAAAACCCACACGGTGCAAAAACACCCAGGAGTCACTGGCACTCAAACTTGAGCGGAGGGCTCAAGGCTTGGGCTTCACTTTTAATACCTCTGCAGTCTTTTCCTTATGAGTATGCCAAGCATCAGCCAACAGGCAAAGAAAACGTGGCTCTGTCTACCAGTGCTGACCAGATTCAACACAAATATGCCAGGGAGAAGATGCTACAAGCCTGAATCAAGCCCTTTTCCATATGAACACCCTTCTCTCTTCCAGAGGATAGTAATTTCCCTTCTATCATTGGATTTGAAATACGTTAAAAAAAAAAAAAAAACGGGGTGTGTGGTTAGACAAAAGCCCTGTTTTAAGAGAATTAAAAATTAATTATTCCTTAGAAGAAAAAAGGATGAAATCTGTGATTTTGGGCAATTATTTCTAGGCCAGAAGCACCCCTGGTCACTAGGCAGTTAAATTAGGCATAAAGCCATTTTGCTTTTGACTATTCCTGCTATGGAGCTCCGCTGGACAGGGAGCTTCAGGACATAGCACAGGCAATGGCTTAAGCACAGGCTTTGGTTTTACAGAGCTCAAGGCACACACACCAGTCCTGTCCCAACCAGGTGTGCTTCCCTGAATCACAGCCCCAGCGCTTCCAAGTTAAATGGGATTGGTCCATGTTTCCCTGCTCCTGCACGATTACATTCGCGTGTCTGAGGGGAAGGAGCCGGTTAAGCATAGATACATAGTCTTTTTCAAATGCTTAATATTTCTAGTTTCACTGTAATTATATCCTGCAGATAAAAATGGTGCTCAAGGTCAAACAAATCCTCCAGGAGAATATACACTGCTTGGAAACTGGGGTTTTTTTTAACTGGAAAGGTTGTATAAATACTGCAGAATAAGAACCTATAATTATCCATTAAAATCACTCTGAGCCTACTGAATTCATATTTGTCCATGTTCAACCTCTAGTCTCATAAAGTTTACATGTGGCCAAAAATCAGCTCAGGCAAGAGGCAACTGATCAGAAATACATTTTTCCTGGACCATTTCTATGGCATTAGAGGGTGATGCTCAGCCGAGGACCAGCTTCAGAGATGAGGGCTGGGCTGGGTTGCCACCATCCTGCAGCCAGTGCCCCACTTACCTGCCTCCACAGGCAGGATTTACTGCTTCGTGCCCTTTGTTGACATGCCCCTGTGTTGCTCCCCAACATGGCAGGGCTGCAACAACTCATCTGAGGGAATCTCCCTGTCTGGAAAAGGCTTTCACACCCACCACTTGCATTGAGAGTCATAGAATCATTAAGGCTGGAAAAGACCATCAAGTCCTACTGTCAACCCAGCACCACCACCATGTTCACCATGAAACTGTCTCCTCAAGTGCCTTATCCACACATTTTTTGAACACTTCAAGGGATGGCAATTCTGCTACCTCCCTGGGCAGTCTGTTCCAATGCTTTACAACCCTTTCCATGAAATTTTTTTCCTAATATCTAATCTAAACCTCTAAACATTTGCAATGGCTCTGATGGTTGTTGCCTAAGCCTCATTCCAGTGTTTGGGTGCAATCTCCAAATCTACCTGGGGATAGAGAGGCAGCCCTTACAGCTGGCATGCAGGGATCCCTAAAGGGAGAAGTAGTGCTTTTGCTCTGGAAACACTCCTCTAGGAGCAATAAGCAATGCAACAGCTGAGCACTGCGGCTGATACACTTTCCCAGGGGGAGCAACACAGTTACCCACCAAGAGCCTCAGCCCCGCTCCCCTCCAGCCTTGCCCCACCCATACACATCACCTTGGAGCAGCCCCTGGCTGCCTTCCATCTCGTGAGGCAAACAGAAAGAGGGTCTGACTCCATCCTTTTCCCTCCTGTTGTCCTCCAGAGGTTGTCTGCCCAGGAAAGGAACAGGTGCTCCTTTAAAAGAGCAGCTGGCACAGCAGTGTCACCAGGGGTGCGAGCACAAAGGGCCCCACTGCTGCTGGGCTCACCTCAGGGGGCTGAAGTTTGCTGTCCCACCAAACATGCCCGTTCTGGAAGAGGTACCTGCAGCCAGGAGAGCCAGGACTGATTCTCACATGGGCAAAACCATGGATGGCATCACTGCCAGCAGCGGCCTCTGCGCTCTCACCAAATCCCTTCATTTACTGTAGCAATCCACGCTACAAAACTGCAGCGACTGAGCCACTGCTTTTCCCCCCAGGACCAGCAAAGCCACGGCGGGGTTCAGGACAGAGCCTCAGCAGAGCACAGCACACAGCACACAGCACTGGGGTCGAGGTGAAGCACTGCAAGATCCAACCCATCGCCCTGCTCCCCGTCAGCCACCTCCAGGCCTGAGGTGCATGACATCTGTCTGTTCCCTGCAGCTGTGGCTGAAAAGCCACAAGAACTGAGGGTCACTGGTATTAACACCCCCTTGGAATCGGTCCCACAGGAGCAGGTCTCAGGCCAACCTTTTGGCTGAGGCTTACAAGAGCCACCAGCCAGCAGGGCTGCCAGGAGCTATATATATCTTGCCTGGATTTGAACTGCCCACAAACCTCCACCACAAATATTTGGAGGAAGGGGAGGGGGTAAAAGAAACAAAAACATTAAAAAATATTGTCTCAGCAGTGAGAAAAGCTATCAAACAACCCATGACAATTGAAAAATTAGGCACTTCAAAAGCTTGGTTACTTTATAAATGGTGCGGTGTTTCCAGAGCAAGCAACTCAGGCACTGCTGGGCCACTCTCCTTCCCAAACCATCTGTGCTAAAGCCAAAGGGCAGAGGAAAGACACCAGCCCTCCTTACGACCCCTCCTCACCCACTAGTTGCACCTCAGCCTCCCCAGACACCGGCAAGGAGAAAACCCACCTGCATGGACCTGATTCTTCCTCTCCCCTACCAACCTCCATCTCTGAGCATCCCCCTGGGGACAGTTACATCATTAATATATATTTACATTTATGCTGAGGTAGGGAGATGGGTTTTCCTCTTGGTTACATGGATGTAAAGTCAGAGGAGCTCCACGGGAGTCAAGGGGGTTACACGAGATTTATGGGTACCACATTTGCCCTCCTGAGCTGCCACCAGCCACAGCCTGAGGATGCACAGCAAGCCTCTATGGATGAGGACAGAGGGAAGCTGGGGGGTGTTAGTCCAGTGGATCTATCACCATTATCAGTGTGCACAATTTACTCCCTGCTGATGCACTATTTTCTTGTAGGGAAGCGGCTGTTGGACCTCACCAAGGCTTTTCTGATCCTTGAAATCATTTGGATCTCAGTAGAGTTCTTTGAGGTGAACCCCTCTCTGCCCCAGCCAGGCTCAGCCTTCCCAGAAGAACACCCTTACCATGGAGAACAACTCATTTTATATAGGGAAAATGCCACATTTTCCAGCAGAGATTTATCTCCTCCAAAAGCAAACTACTGTCACTAATAAGCACTGATGTTTACACACCAACACTCTGACCACCAGTAAAAAAACAAACCATCAAACACAAAGTCTGTGCAAATACATCTGTGGACTATGCCAACTCAGCCATGAAGCTGGAGTGTGGTACTAAAAGCCACTGAGGTGCAGCAGAAACACCTCCCAGCATCCAAAACACACCCTGTCATGGATACGAGGTTTCTCTGATTTAAAGGCATAATTTATACTCAGCTCCTGAGTTACTAAAATCCTGCAGCCCTTTCAGCACAGGTCAAAGCACCCCATTTTATGTAGCAGTCCCCAAGGGTGACATTCAGCCCACAGCATGGGAAAGGTCTGTTCCTGGCGGACCCGGGCTCCCTTAATGGAGCGGGGAGAGGTCGGCGCTCCAGGGAGGGATGGAGCTCACTGGGAAATCGATGCCAAAGGAAGATAGGGTGGAGCTTAGTGCTTTTAGAGAGATTATTTGGAAAAAGAAGAACTCGAGCAAAATGGCTCTTCCCTGGGGAACTCAGGACCTTTGTTTCTCTCCAGACACGCTGAGGACATCTGTGTGACTTGTGGGCCTGATGCCGGGTTCCCAGTATGCCTTGGAAATGGGGTTTTGTGCAGGAAAGGGAGGGGACCCACCAGCCAATACCCCCTGCAGGACATCAACAACAGTGCCAGCACTTAGGACTACATGGAGCCAGGGTATCCCCAGCTAACACCTCCCAGGACCATTCCCATCTTTCTGACAGCACGAGCTCTCGAGCTCTACTTCAGACCTGACTATTGCTTTAGCCTCCAGTTACAAGGACCTTCTTTCCTGTCCCCACCAGCAGACTCACAAATCTCTCCCCACTACAAGCAGGCCTGGACCAAACGATTTCAACCCCCAGCAGCCACAGGTTCTCCACCCCCTGCCTTCCCCCAGGGATCCCTCGATTTTCCACCAGAAAACCTGGGGTGGTGATTTGAAGGCAGACAGAAAAACTCCTTTAACTCAAATAAATGAGCATTCCCATCTCACCTCCATCCCACTGCCCCAGCCAGAAGGTGATGCTGACAAGATTCCTCTCCCACAGCCACCACTCTGTCTGCCCCCCAATCCCAGGTCATCATTCCCACCAAGACAATTTTGGCCAGACATTTTCCAAAACCTTTGGGAAAGAAAGCGTCAGCTCCACCTGGGAAAACCAAGCCTAGCAGGCAGAGCTCAGAGGCAGAACAGGCATTTCCTGGGGGCTCTGCCAGTCTGTGTACCCCCCCCTTTCCTGCGGGAAGCAGGCAAGGCACAAGAGATGGCATCAGCCTCACAGCCTCAGGGGGGTTCATGGCCAGGGTGGCCCAGGGAAGGCAAGGGACACCTGCTCTGAGCTTGGCTTTTGGAAAGGCACACACCAAAATGTGTATGTGTATATATATATATATATTTTATATATATATATCTATATTTATATATATAAAATGGGGCAGGGCTGCTGGGCAGGGCAGGGAGGGGTGGGGAGGAGGAGAGCTGCAGAAATTGCTACCTGCAGCCACACGTCTCCACGACCATGTCCTCGTACTGTTTGTAAACCACATTGTTCCCAGAGTCTATGTAGAGGATGCTGATGGGGCTGAGCTTGGAGGGCACACAGCAGCTTGGGGGGGTGGACTCCGGGTCCATGGAGTTCATCAGGGTCTGAATAATGGCATGGTTGGTGGGCTCCAGGTGGGAGCGCAGGGGGAAGTCGCAGACCCCCTCACAGTGATACGCCTCGTAATCCAGGGGGGCGATTATCCAGTCATCCCAGCCCAGCTCCTTGAAGTTCACGTGCAGAGGCTTCCTGCTGCAGCGGGTCTTCGCCTTCTTCCCATGGCCTCTGCCCCCAGACCGGGCAGCAATCGTGGTCCTTCTCTTCCTCCGCTTGGGATACACCTCCTGGCCAGGATCAGGGGGCTCCAGGAATGGGGGGCTGCCCAGGGCCTTGATCTTATCCCGGATCTCCTTGAACAGATTCTCCTTCCTCTGGGTGCGGGAGAAGGCCACGAGCAGGGCTCGCTCGTGGGGCTGGGGCTGGGGCTTGTTGAACCCCAGTTGTCGGGGGGGCAGGAGCTGCCCCGACTGATCCGAGACGATCCTCAGCAGGAAGCACAGCAGCTTGCCCGAGAGAGATCTCTCCCTCCAATCTCGCAAGGCTCCCCAGACATCAAAAACCTCCCATCTGGAGGAGCCTGCGTCCAAAATGTCTGCAGCCCTGGAGTCCAGCAGCCGGGGCTCCTGACCATCCTGGCTTGGGCAGGTGGAAAGGAGGAGGTGGTGGAAGGTGCCTTCGGGGGACAGGGCCAAGCTCCGGTTTTCAGGGAGGGCACGAAGGATCCGCAGCTCTGCGCCCGTCACCTCCTCTGCCTCAGGCAGGCTGGAGATGTCGAAGAGGTATCGCTGCTCGGAGGTGGATAGGGAGGCATCTGGAAGAGATAACATAGAAGGGAAAAAAAAAGGAAAAAAAAATTAAAATCCCAGCAAGCTGAAGCCAAGCTCTCATTATGGAGGTGCAAGAGACACAGAACTAACAGGAAAGATCCTGCCGTGCAGCAAGGCTCGCCGAGCATCCCAGCAGGACACAGCCTGTGTGTCCTGCATCCAGGAGCGTCACTCTGGCTGGAGGCACCAAAAACTAACAAGGAGAAAGTACAGAGGGAGAGAGGCATCAATTGAATCAAATGGCTTCTCATCAGCACTCTTCCCCATGTCCCAAGGAGGCTTCTCTGCCTCCTCATAGGTGTTCCACTGACCCCAGTTGCATCACTATTCTGTTTTGGCATGGAAGCCCCATCTGAACCTGTGCCGCAGTCCCATCCCCACTCAGGAGGTGGTCACCGATTTCTTCTGCCCTAAGTGTCACACACACACACATAGCCCCATCCATTCCAAGTAAAAAGCTGTGAAAAATTCCATTTTCCCCTCGCAGACACACGTCTGATAGAGGCACCACTAGAGGTTGAAAGCGAGCCCAGCTTCACTTTGTCACTATTTTTGGTGGATCCAAAGCCCAAACACAGACTTGTGCAGTTTCTAGCACTGATTAAATATACTCAGTGTGAATTAAAAAAAAAAAAAAAAAAAAAACACCAAAGGAGGTGACATTGGGGAGAAGACATGAAAGACTTCTGCGAGGGTTGTTTTTTATTTTCTCCCTCGTTAACGAGAAACCTGACCTGAGCATGCTGCAAACATCGCTGCTGTGTCCGAGCCTCTTGACCCGCTGCCGGTAGAGCCCTGCCCGACATCCCCACACCGCAGCCCCCGCCCCGCGCCAGCAGCGCCGCTGGGTGCAGTCTGCACCCCCCGCCAGGGGGGAAACAATCTTCTCCCTGTCATCTGCTGCTGCTGCTACTATTATTGTTATTATTATCCTTATTATTATTATTCATTATAGTCATTATTATAATTATTATTTTAAAAGCAGATCTACCGTTCCTAAGAGGAGCAGATAAGAGCAGATAAGGAGATCCCTTTGAAGAGTTCATCTGGTTTCGTTTTGCTCTGAAACTTCCCAGGACCTAGGTGCAGTTTTCCCCCGGCTCTCCCAAGCCGGGCACTGCCCACCCTCCCACCGGATCATCTTCCCCGCGTCCCACCTCGCTCCCCTGACCTTGCCCCATCAGCTTTTAGCACCCCTTCCCCCCAAAGGCTGCCGGCAGGATACGGCCCGTTCTGGGTGTGAGGATGGGGCTTGGGGAGCTCCACACCACCAGCCGCCGCTCTCCCACCCCGGGCCAGCCGGCGATAGGCACCGCAGGGAGGCTGGGGGCTGCTTTTCAGTTTGTCTTTTAATTTTATTCGATCGGAAATTTATTATTTTTTTTCCCCAGCCGAGCGAACTTCGGCGGCAGTGCGCGATGTACGCGTTAAAAATGTATCGTTAAATGCGTTTATGTGTTATCATCATTAGATCCGCGGATATGAAGAGGGCAAAAGAGGAGGAAGAGAAAGAAGGGGAGCGCGATGCCGAGCTCAGCCGGCGGGTCGGCGGGAGCCGCTCTGGAGCGCTCCCCGGAGCACCGCGGCTGCGCTCCCTCCCCAGCCTCGCCCGGCCCGTCGCGAGGCCCTGCGGAGTTTTTCGGGCTGCAAAGGCTCTGTCGGGTCTTCTCGCTCCCGGTCCCGCGGATGCCGCGCAGAGAAGCTGCCTCAAAACTGCGCCGCAGCCGCCGGCCCCGCATCAGGTGGCGAGAGGTTCCGAGAGCCGCCGGCAGCCCCGCCTGCCCCGGCCCGGCTGGCTGCACCTCGCACCCCGTCCCCAACCCCAGCCCCAGCCCCGAGCGTCATCTTTGACCGCGCAACCCCATCGCCACCCCCGACCTCACGCTCATCTCCATCAGCAATCCCTTTTTCCAGCTCCAGACACAAACCCTTTGCTGTCACTGTCGTCGCCTCAGTCCTATGTTCACGCACAGCCCCACTCCCAGCACTGTCCTCGTCCCCATTCCCACGCTCGGTCTCGCGCACGGCTCCATTCCCGTTAAACAACCGGGATGCGCAGCCCCTATCCCGCGAAGCTCTATCCCGTGAGCTACCCCCAGCCCCTGCAACCACCCCGTGCTCAAACCAACGCACAACCTCGTTCCCCAACCAACGCACAACCCCATCCCAGGCACAGCCTCGCGTTTGGACCAACGCGCGAGGTCCCTCTCCGCGTTGCCACCACGTCCCCAAACTCACGCTCAAAATGATGCGCAACCCCGCGTCCATCCCTGCTCCCACGCAGGAGCCCGATCCTCGCATCCACGCACAGCCCCGTCTCCGTTCCCAAACCCCATCCTCATCCTAAAGCCCGTTCCCAAGCCCAAGCATCCCAGACGGTGGGGTCCCGGGGAGACGCGCTCCCCGCACTCACCGCTGCGCGCCCGCTCCGCGAAGCCCGTGACGGTGTCGGCGCGGCCGCCGGAGCCGCGGCGGGCGGCCAGGCGCTGGTACAGGGCCACCATGTAGTGGTGCGGCACCACCGTGCCGTTGCGGAGAGCCCCGTCCCTCCGCGGCGGGGAGGAGAAGGGGGAGGCGGCGGCGGCGGCGGAGGAGGAGGAGGCGGAGGAAGGCGCGGCTGCCGAGGGTCGCTGGGGAGCGGCCGCCGACGGGCCGCGCACGGCGGCGGCCTCCAGCCCGCGGCGGAGGCGGCAGGCGCCCAGCAGGCAGAGGCAGAGGGCGGCGGCGGCGGCGCGGAGGCGCATGGCGGCGGCCCGGGGCTCGGCGCGGAGCTGCTGCCGCCGCCGCTCCCCGCCCGCTTTTGAACATCGTCTTCGCCGCCGCCGTCGCCGCCGCCGCCGCCGCTCCTCGTTCGCCCGCCGCCGCCGGGGCTCCCCCTGCCGGCCGCTCGCCCCTCCCCGCCCGAGCACCGCCCGCGCCCCGGGACCCGCCCCGCCTTCCCCGGCAGGTGGGACCCCCTCGGACACCTCCCTGGATCCCGCCCCTCCTCCCCCGGCAGACGGGACCCCCCCGGACACCCTCCTGGATGCCGCCCCGCCTTCCCTGGCAGGTGGGACACCCCCGGATCCCTCCCGACCCCGCCCTGCCTCTACCTGCAGGTGGGAACCCCCGGACCGTCCCCTCGGACACCGCTCTGCCTCCCCCGGCAGGTGAGAGAAACCCCGTCCACGCTCCGCCTCTGCCTGCAGGTGAGACCCCACCCCGGACACTCCCTCCCCGGCCCCCTCCCCGCCTTCCCAGGCAGGTGAGACCCCCGCAGGCTCCGGCCCCGTCTAGTGGGAGGCACTTGCGCCCCCCGTGGGGGCACCCGTACCCCTAATTTGTCGGGGAGAGCTGCGTCCCACAGCCCCGTGCCGCGGCGTCACTCCAGCCTAGTTAGGGAGGATGCGGATGGGAGGCGACCCTGTATTGGAGGGGGTCACCCGCCACCCCGTACTGGGGCGGGGGTCCCGGTCCCACACTGGACGTGGGGCAGACCCCGGCTCTGTTTCGGACTGAGGAACCGTCACCCCACATTTCGGGCTGACTTCTCACCCTCAGACTGGCCTGCGGGGGTGATGCTGGCTGCGGGGCCGGGCCGGGAGCGTCGAGGGAGCCGGAGCGACTGTCCCGGGCTGCCCCGCACCTCCATCGGCCCCGGCAATTCCGCCTCGGGAGCCCGACACCGGAGCAAAACAAAGCCCCGGCTGGGCTGCGGGCTGATGTTTTCCCTCGCACGGAGGGTTTCCTTGGTAAAATTCAGATGTTTCCTTGGGTCTCGATTAAAATAACAAAGTGGGGTATTTACTAGGATGTTATTTCAAGTCTCTTAAGTCCCTGGTTATGTCTGTTGCGATTTCTCCACAAATACAAAAACAAGGGCTGCGATGATTTATTTGAAGGAATGTAGGTGTTTTGCCAAAACAAACATGGCTTTTTTTTTTTTTTCCCTTTCCCCCCCCAAACAATTGCTTCTCACGAGCATTTGTCACTGCAACCTCTCGGATTTCTTTCTGCTGTGATTTTACAGGTGCTTTGTCACAGTATCATGAGCGGGTTTCTAATGCCCAGCAGCAGATTTGCTCGCTATGAACACACACACTGTGCAGAGACACAGACACAGCTCCCATGACACCATCCCAAGAAATCCGCATCCCGAGAAATCCCTGTCTCTCGCAGTGCTGGATGGCCAGGCCCAAAGCCATTTGCACACTTTGCACACTTTGCCCAGCCTTTGCCCAGCACAGCATTTGCACAGGGCTTGCACAACCTTTACATAGAGTTTGTGTGGCTTGCACAGCATTTGCACACTCTGCACAGACCACAGGGCCTTGCACGCTGCCACTGGCACCACCCACCCAGCAGTTAGTGACCACCAGGACCCCTAACCCAGCTGGGGCAGGAGGCAGAGGAAGGCTTTAGTAATTGTTATTCTTTTGTCAGTCCCTTATTAAATCCAGCCTGATGCTCTTCAGACACTAAAGGTCACTTTAAAAAGCACCTGACAAGACCTTCCAGCTCCTGAGGCCTCACTCCCCCCTGGCCAGGGTGCTGAGATCCCACTCGGGTGCCCTCACAGAATGAGAGCAGGTGGTAGCAGGGCTGAATGTTGAGGGCAGTTCTTCCCAAAGATGGGAAGGCTGAAAAACACTGTCTAGCCCTGCCCCACTCAATCCCACCTCAACCAGCAACTCCAGGGTCACAAACTCTGCTCCTGAAGTTCCCACTGAAAGGTATGGCAGCGATCCCTTCCCAGTGCTGCCCAGAGAAGGGATCAAAGGGATCAGCAGAAGGATGGAAGGATGATGGGACAGGAAGGACTGTTGAATTCTAGAAAATGGGCAGACAAATCTATCCATAAACCTCTGGGCTTCTCGCAATGGTTTCTGGAGCCTGCTGCCTGGAATTGTTTTCACACAGTCAGTTTTATGTGAAACACTGAAAGATACAAAAATGGTGAATGTGGTCCATGCCCTGGGTCCCCTGAGACGTTACATCCTCCTGCATGTTGGGGTGCATGTACCTGCCAAACATGTGGAACCCCAGGCTTCACCCTGGGACTGGAACTGTCACTGCATTTTTTCTGTGTGTTTTTCAAAAATTAAAGTTACACTGATGCAACAGACAGCCAGTCTGTGCCTTCTGGGGTTTTTTTAATCACAGTTTTTTCTTTTCCCTACAGACCAGTCCTCTTCTCAGCCCCCAGTGTGGGCAGCAGGGTCAAATCCCTGCCTGGTGCAAGTCAGCAGAGCTGAGCAGGGGGTTCCTCTGCATCAGTTTGCACCACACCATCCTTGTTCCTGTGCACAGTTGTCCCCGTGACAGAGCTTTGTGCTGCTGGGTGATGAGAGCCAGATCCCTGTCCTCACCATCTGTATGGAGACCCAACACAGGCACACACATACCCACGCCACCCTGAGCGACATGGACACACATGTCTGCACACACCAGGCACACATGCCCACACCAAAGGCACACTCACACACACACACCACACACACATATGGGTACACAGACCCAAGAGGCAAATCCTGCCCAGCCATGCCAGAGGGTAGATGTGAAATCCCACAGCTCATCCTCTCAACCACACAGCATCTACTGACGTGCACAGGCGCTAACTTTCCCATCTGTAATCCATTGCAACTTCACTTAAACCCTTCTGGGCTTTCTTGAATTTCCATCAGCCCAGCTCAGCCCAGCCCAGCTGCAGGACCTTCCCAAGCCGCTCTAGCCCTGCTCAGCAGCTCCTGCCCCCAGTCCTTCCCTGCGCCGAGGACGGGCTCCCTCCTCTCCCACTGCAAACCTTTGCGCATAATTTCACACTGGCAAAGAGCCACCTTCTACCAGCCCCCTTCCAAAACCAAATTAGCACGCTGCTGCAGCAGCAGAAATTGGAGAGGAAGGACTGCAGTTTTATTTTACAACTCAATTAGCAAGTTTATACAGAAAAAACACCCATATAACTGAGGGAGATTTTATGTCCGTTCGGCTCCACCAGTAAATAGACTTGTTCCTCTTGAGGGCACTCCCCACTGCTGTGGGTACAGCAATGTGCTCCTGCCCTTGGGGGCCCTTAACCAATGTGGTGATCCTGGCTCCAGACCTGCTCACTTGCTCCATCTCTCTTTGCTTTTACACTTACAAATCCTCTGGGTACCTCCATCACAGGTTGAAAAACAGTTCTGAGACTGTCCTGTCACCCTGTTCACCAAGTATTAAATCAGAAGTGTGCCAGAACCTCAGATGAAGATAAAGGGCCCCATTTGTCTCTAATTTTTCCCTAAGAACTAGTCCCAGACAACATGAAGCCAGTGGCTGTATGCCCAGGATGGATCCTGACTCCCATAACAGCTTGCACCTTATCTCACTATGGTCTCTTTCTCCCTTCACCAATAGGTCAGGTTTTTGGAAAGAAGGGGGCAGTCAACTCACTAAGCCTGTTTTCTTATTGGGAACATTTTTTGGATGCTGATTCCTTCAGGATCGGGAAGGAATCATTTCTGCCTGGCTGATACTTAGGCTAGTCCCTCTGACATAGTCTCCGTCCCTCTGCTCCCTCTTCTGGTCCCTAGCACTGCCCTGCTTGTCCTCCTGCATTGTCCATGGTGGTTGGGGACCTTTGTGTGTGGAGCACCGATTCATTTCCATGAGTCCTGGGCAGGGTGAACTCCCCTACCACATCTGCATCCTCTCGTGCAACTGTGGGCAAGGTCCCAGCCTGGTAGAGGGGCTGCCCTACAGATGCTCTTTGGCACAGGAAAGAACGGGGTATTCAATTTAACTGGAACCCACTAGCCACGGAAGACCACTTCTCAAAGGAGGAAACTGAGGCAGAAGGGAAATCCTCAAGGAATAATAACCACATACCTCACATCACAGCCACATTCCCACAGCTCTGCACCTCCACCTCACCTTCCCTATCATCAGCCCTTTTTGATGGAATAAAACCAAACTGCAGTGACAAGCCCCCTCCACTCTTCAAAGCTGGAGTGGCTGTTTCTGTTAGCTAAGTCAGTGGGGCTCCATCAACTTTTCAAGTCTCGAGCAAGTTCAGAGCGATCAGAATGTTGATGCCAGTGGCTATTTGGAAGAGTGTGTTTTCATGTAGTGACCACACAAGAAGCCTCTTGAGGCTTCACTTAACAAATGTCTTCTAGTGAGATGGCTNTACAAGTGACAGTAAGGCCAGCTCAGCAAGTAACCAAGCAACGGCATCATTTTCTTTCCAAATCTTCCAGCAACTCCTTCCAAAACGTACTTAAACTCAAGCCAAGCTGAATTCTTTCTGGTTGTCTGCACGGGGATAGCCAGAGAAGATAAGA